GACTGCAGCCATGAAATTAAAAGACACTTGCTCCTTGGAAGAAAAGTTATGGCCAATCTAGACAGTGTATTAAAAAGCTGAGACATTACTTTGCCAACAAAGATCTGTCTAGTCAAAGTTATGGTTTTTCCAGTAGTCATATATGGATGTAAGTGTTGGACCATAAAGTAAGCTGACTGCCAAAGAATTGATGCTTTTGAACTATGGTGTTTCAGAAGATTCTTGAGAGCCCCTTGGACTTCAAGGAGATCCAACCAGTCCGTCCTAAAAGAAATCAATCTTAAATATTCATTGTAAGGACTGACACTGAAACTGAAACTCCAATACTTTTGCCATCTGATGCGAAGAACTGACTCATTGGAAAAGACCCTAATGCTGGGAAAGATTGAAGGCAAGAAAAGAAGGGGAGGACAGAGGATGAGATGGTTGGATGGCATCACTGACTCTATGGACATGAGTTTGAGCTAATTCCAAGAGTTGGTGATGGACAGGGAAGCCTGGCATGCTGCAGTCCATGGGGTCACAAAGAATTAGACATAACTGAGCCACTGAACTGAACTGAACTGCAGTTCAGACTCTTGTTGACCATGAAAGCTACTCCATTTCTTCCAAGGGATTCTTGCCCAAAGTAATAGATATACTGGTCATCTGAAATTAGAACTATGATGCAGTTAATTAAATGGAGGAGATATTCACATCTGGGGAGTTTATTTATTGTCCAAACAACTTCATGGATTACAACTACAAATTCAAAATGTGACTTTTTAGAAGAGATTGAATTGTGACAATTGGATTAAGTAGGTTTCAAAGGACTTCAATCATTGGCATCTGAAAATGTTTTCAACTCTGGGAAAATCTAATCATGTGCACCTATACCTTTTCACAGGGCTGATAACACTATCACTTGGAAGAGATGGGCGTGGTCTTCAGAGACTATATAAAGCATCTCTTAAAGATCCACACTCACTTTTCTCCAGAGTCCAGACCTGCCGGGACTGGAGTTGGCTGCATTGTGGAAACTTCGGGAAGTTTCTGCCAGGCAGAGGTGAACACCTAAAGCTGAACTGAATCGTGCAGAGTTACTTACAGCATAGGAGTAGAACATTCATCAGCTGTACCCAGTGGTGAGTTCTAATCAAAGTAGATGAAATTCTGTTATGTTCACTTAGAAATGAAACTTTAATGGTGATTATGGACAGAAATGTAATTTTTTTTCTGTCAGTAATATCTGTATGTATGCAATTCATCAAGCATTTATTCCCTTTGGGATTTGCAAACAAGTAATGTCTTTTATCCATATTATGTCAAGTAATTTCCTTATAAAATGTGGGTAAAAATAGAAAATTAGTAAATATTATTTAGAAGATTAAAAGAGTTAATCCATATAAAAGGAGTTAATATAATGGCAAGCTGATTCTTTATCATGGAGCCACTGAGGAAGTCCATTTAGTTCTTCTGTATTTTAATGCTATCATGATTCCCAGTGTCATTAGCATAAAAGTGATTTTATTCATAAAGAATTCTTGGTCAGTTTCTAGCCCACTCTATACAAGGCTTCTTTATACTTTCTTCCTGTTCATCAGCTATCTCCTCTTTTGATGCACATATTTATAAATACATAAGTATTTATAAAACACATAGTACTCTTAAAATGTTCAACATAATGAATACATTTCATAGTCTTTACACAAATGAATATGAGTTAAATGGTTAAATTAATCAGAAAACCTTCTTGAAATGGTCACATTTGCTATCATTTTAAAGCCATCACTTTGCAGTCCGTAAGTGAAAAGTGTTCAAAATAGATCCAATCAACCAGTAGGGACTCCAAAGTGGAATGAGCAAAGAGCAAAACATCAAAAAACAAAACATCTGATGTTGCTTCCATTAACCAGGTATTTGGAATTTCCAGTGTAGGGCGGAAATCTTTGGGTATATTCAAACTTATTTCTGTGGATTTAGTAAACAATGTGTAGTCAGATTGGAACGTCCCTGGTGGTTCAGACAGTAAAGCGTCTGCCTACAATTTGGGAGACCTGGGTTCAATCCCTGGGTCAGGAAGATCTCCTGGAGAAGGAAATGGCAACCCACTCCAGTATTCTTGTCTGGAAAATCCCATGGATGGAGGAGCCTGGTAGCCTACAGTCCATGGGATCGCATAGAGTTGGACACAACTGAGGGACTTCACTTTCACTTTCTTTAGTAAAAAATTGATTCTTTTTTACAAATTATTGTTATAGTGGGAACATTCACCAGTTCAAAATATGACATACTTGAAATATCTGAACTGACTCCAGGAAAAACTGTCTTCCTGAACTAGCAATGCTATATTTATTTTCTCTTTTTGTCTTGAAAAGAATAGTTTTGTTAATTTAAATTGTAAGTAAACATTGACCAGTTTTCAGTTTCAGAATGTCAAAGTTAAAGAAAACATTAATTATATAAAGTTTAAATTATTCATAAACAATTTTATTTGGCTTTAGAAAAGCATATATGTCACTTCAAAGGCAGAAGGCATAGAAAACATTAGTGAAGAGACAAAGTGTGTGTTAGTATGGGTTGTAAGTAGGGGAAAATGGAGAGAGAGAGACAGATTGAGATTATATATATGCTTTTGTACCAATCAGCTGACAAAAGTTATTCTGGAGTCATCCTAATATTTATCCTCAGGTTAACTTTAAACAAAAAAATAGTTGCAAGTGACTCTCTTATCTAATTTCATCCTTTTTATTATAGGAAGAATACAACCTGTTTGTAGTCACCATTTCCAGGTTTGTACTGTGTTTCTGCTTGGTCATTCAGTCAGGTCCAACTCTTTGCAACCCCCATGGACTATAGCCCACCAGGCTTCACTGTCCAAGGCATTTCCCAAGCAAGAGTACTGGGACCCATTGCCATTTCCTTCTCCAGGGGACCTTCCCAACCCAGGACTCCAACCCACATTTCCTATGACTCCTAAATTGTCGGCAAATTCTATACCCACTGAGCCATTGTGGAAGTCCAGGTGCAATCTTGGTAAAGAACCAACCTGGCAGTCCAGGACACTTAAGAGACATGGGCTCAATCCATGGTAGCAAACATCCCCTGGAGGTGGGCGTAGCAACCTACTCCAGTATTCTTGCCTTGAGAATCCCATCAACAGAGCCTGGTGGGCTGCAGTCCATAGGGTCACAAAGAGGTGGACACGAGTGAGTGACTAAGCATGCAGGTTTGTGTTGGGTTTAGCAAATATGGAAATTAGAGTTCAAGACAGGACTGTGCCAAAGGCTTAATTTTACCTGATCAGGGCAGAAGAAAGACTTTCTCTCTTACCATTTTTATTTCTATCTTTAATTTTCAGAAACATGGATTCAGACGAGCTGGAAGCCTTCCAGCAGGAACTCACCTGCTCCATCTGCATGAACTGCTTCCTGGACCCCGTCACCATAGACTGTGGGCACAGCTTCTGCCGTCCCTGTCTGAGCCTTTGCTGGGAGGAAGACTGGATTCTGAAGAGCTGCCCTGAGTGCAGGGGAATATCAGAGAGGCCACATTTCAAAACCAATATTGTCCTCAAGAGGCTGGCTTCCCTTGCCAGACAGGCCAGAGCTGACCACGACCACCGCTCTGAGGAGCAGATCTGTGAGACACACCAGGAAGCCAGAGGCCTCTTCTGTGAGGCCGACCAGACCCTGCTCTGCGGGCCCTGCTCTGAACGCCCTGAGCACACAGCTCACAGCCACAGTCCCATACACAGGGCTGCTGAGGAGTCCCGGGTAGGTGATGCCTCTAGAGCAGTTTGGAATCTAGAGGCTCCTAAGTCAGAGAGAAAGACGAGGATGCTATGATGGTGATGGGATGGAGATAGTGGAAGTGGGATTTCTGAATGTGGATCCTCACATATAATGTGTCCTTTCAGTGTTGTTGCCCAGTTGCCCACACGTGTGGAAATGCAGCATCCCGGGGAGGGTGGCACCAGGGACAGAGGCTTCTGATGGGAATGTGAGGCTTTCTTAATCAACCTATATAAATATGTGAGTCTCAATTTCTTAGGGATTGGATTTCATGATCTGTAACATTTCCCCAGTTCTGTAGCATACACTCTGTCACTATCATCTTGGTGTTAGATTCAGATTAATGTGGGAAAATCTGACCACAACATTCTAACTCAAGGTTTCTGTGTAACCAACAAGGGCCTTTGTTCACGAATAAGGGGATGAAATTTACAGTGTCATCTTCTGTGTCTAAATCCCCTGGGTATTTTGCAGGAGAAACTTCTAAAGAGAATGGGCTCTTTATGGAAAACCAGAGAAGAAATGAAAATCATTCTGAACCAGGAGGCTAAAAAAACAAGGTCATTTAAGGTAAGAATAAAAATGCTCCTATTTATTTCTAGAGACAGTGATATAATTCTAGCTTTTAGGTCTATTTACATTCCCATTGAAGGATATTGATCTCTTTCCTTGAAAAGGCGTGGTTTCAAAGGACCTATCAGTAATCACAAGTGGAACAGGTCAATACATGCTAGTTCAAGGAATCCTAGTACATGGGAAAACCTCAGCATGAAACGTGTTCCTAGGCCAAATTTTAAAGATTTTAATAAAACTCAGAAGTGGAGTATAAGACAACACTGTACCTCTGTAGTAGAAGAGAGGAACATAGAAGTACCTAGAGGGAAAATAGAGCATCTTTTAAAACTATACAAGATGGGGTTTACCCCATTAAAGAATATTTAGAAAAATCAGGGCAAGGGACAAGAGAAAAACACGATCCAAATTAAAGAGAATGTAACTGATAGAGTAAGAACCCTGAAGAATCCTTCTAAGGGGAGAGCTTGGGACCCCTCAGAAGGCTTGATTCAAACAGGGAAAGACACTAGGAACTCAGGGAAACCATGGACAGGAAGATACTTGAGGACAACAGTTTGTCGAGAACGTTCTTGATGACATCAAGGAAATAATATTTGAAGTTTTCTTTTGAATGTGAGCACAAGCAATACTCCGAATACACTGTCCCCACAGGACTATGTGGCACTAAGGAAGGAAATGATTACAGCTGAATATCAGAGGATGCTTCTGCTGCTCCGGGAAGAGGAGCAACTGCATCTGGAGGCCCTGGAGCGAGAAGCCAAGGAGATTTGTGAACAACTCAAGGAGAGTGTGCTCACAATGACTCAGTACAGAGAACATCTGAAAGACATGTACAGAGAGCTGACTGCGATGTGCTGCAAGCCGGACAGGGAGCTGCTCCAGGTGAGAAAGGAGGGTCCGTCCTCAGAGAGAGAAACACTCCTCTAGACGAGCTGCTGTGACACTGAAATATTGCCTCATATACGGTTACTCTCAGCTGAGGGATGGTGCTCCTTGACCCGCCTTTATTGTATTTGTCCAGTCCCCTAGTTCAACATATTCTGGTAATCTTTGCAAGATTTTTGCCCATTTCTTAGCTAAAATAGGACTATATTTTTCCAGTGTGATCGGAGTACTATCCAGACAGACGATCTAAAATCAGCAAAATTCTGTGACCAGTGGAAAGTTAACTTTCTTGGAGTAAATCTCAGTATGTGTTCCCCTAAACCTTTGTCACTCCCCGTTATCCCAAGTTTTCCAGAGACACTGAAGTTTCGCCTGTTCTCTAGGCAAGGCTGTTAAAACAAGTCCTCAGTTTCACTCTATAATTAAATTCGGTTCCCTGTTTTCGCTATTGCTTTGTTAAATGGTGAGCTCTGTCCTTGAGAACAGCGCTGGCAGAAGGTGATACTGGAATCCTAGATGTCGCCGCATCATTACACAGACTCTTCCGACCTCCTTCCTTCCGTAATGTGCCTGAGGAAGTCCCCGATGTTTTAGCTTAGGCTGGTATTAGGATGCCTTCTGAGTATTCCTTAGAAGATGATTTAAAAAACAATATCTTAGGGAATAAAGAATAGAGAGGAATATGCAAAATGACAGAAGTCTCATGATTAACATGATCTTTGTTTTTCTTTGCAGGTCTTGGTAAATGTATTGGAAATGTGAGTATACACTAATTTTTTTTATTTCTGGAAATGTTGTTCTCTTTTTGGTGAAGTAGATTCATGGTACCATGGGAGATTGTTTTTGGGTCCTCATCAATATTTAGATTCCAGGATGCAGGATTCCTTATACAAAATGCCATAGTATTTACAGTTAACTTACAAGTATACTGCCATACACTCTGTCATCTCTAGATGACTTATAACAACTAACACATACAATGTAAATTAAATGCATTGTAAATAGTTCCCTGGTATGTGGCATTTTCAAGTTTTACTTTCTGGAATTTTTTTCTGAATATTTTCCATTCAGAACCAGGAGTAAGGATGGGGGAAATGGATAGGCTGGGACTCTGGGGTTGACGTACATACACTGCTGTATTTAAAATATATTTATATAGTTGGTCCAAGAAGCACCTCCCATGAAATGAATAAACGTGTAAATAAACAAGCACATGAACCAATAACTGAGAATTTATAAATTGAATCCATGTGTAACTCCGTAGGTGCAGCACCCTCATATATAGATGACCGATATTGTCTTTTTAGCTATTTTCTGTTTTATTGCAAAAGAATGTCAATCCTTGGCCTCAGAAGTTTCCTTTTCATTTGGCTGAAATCCAATACACCTGAAAACATTCTGACATTCTGGGCTTTATTTTACCCACTCACCCCATCCTCTCCAACCTCACCAAGTTAAGCTTAGTGAAGGGATTTTCTAAGATATCACAGAGGAAGCACCTATGCTATTGAGTTGGAAAGTGGAAAAGGCCTGAACGAGGCAAATTCCCTAAGAATGAGAAAAGAACGGTCCTTTTGTTTTGAGGAGGAGCAGTGACTCAGCTGTTCCATCTTTGCAAGCTCCCTTGTAGGCAGAACCTCAGAGGGAGTGGCTCTCTGCTGCCCACTGAGCAGGTAGACTTTTTGGACCAAAATAACCAGGTTAGATTTGGAGTCCCTTGCGGGCTGACAAGAGCAAACAGGGCTGGCTCAATGAACTCTTCCCTGTAGACACTGAATGCATCCTTGATGACTAGTTGCTGACTGAAGTCTCAAAGGCCTAGCCGGAATTTTCTGTCTGTAAAATGCCCAGGATCTTTGATTACCTGATATGGAATAGAGGAAGGGAATGAGGTGCAATGAGTTGAAAACTGGAATAATATCTGAAAACAATGGGGAAGTTTAAATTTGATATAATTTATACTTAGGAAAAAATCTGGTAATGTTTTTATATTCCAAACTGTGTAGAATATATTGTCTCTGCAATTAACCAAAAATAGAATCCTAACAAAATTTCCTGGGTTAAAAACTGTTTTTGTAATGGTCATGTGATTAGCCTTTGACCTTGACATGTCTATATGTCATTTGTTACAGGACTGACTTGGCACAGATGCAGAAGCCTCAGCCAGTGAACCCAGAGCTCACTTGCTGGCCTCTCACTGGAATCCTAGACATGCTGAACAACTTCAGAGGTGAGGGTCAACCCTGTGGTGATCAGGACTGAATTTCCTTAGAGCTTCCTAGGAAGGAGCCTCCTTTTAATGTTATTTTATTTTTATCTGAAATGATGATACTATATGATTTTGTTGCAAGTTGTTGCATCTTTCTACCTGTACATTTGGATTGCAAAGATCAAGGCTGCACTTTACAACCTATAGTTTACTGAAACTGCAAAGTCATATACATATATTTAGTTACATCTGACATAGAGTGAAAGAGAGCAATCAAGTTGCTCATATGGTTATAAAGAAATAGAATATTCAGTTTTCAGAGTGATCATCAAGAGACTGAGATTAAATCAGACTTCATGCAGTTCATGATATATCTTTTTCTTTTTTGATATGATTTAATGTGTTTCTATATGCCATATATATATAGTAGTAACTCTTCCTCTTCTTAGAAGGGCAGTCTGAACTCACTTCGCTGTCTTTGTTTTGAGTTTCCCTGAAGGAGGGAAAATGAAAAAAAAAATCTCAGTGGGTAGGGAACCTCTGCCTTCTGCCTCTCAGAGACATGCAAATCCCACTTGCTAAACTGATTTCTGCTCTTTCTGCAGTGGATAACATTCTGAGTCAGACAATGACCATTTACCACATGAGCCTTTCTGAGGATGACGATGATGCAAGTGTTATGTTCAGAGATGAGCACCATGGCGTGTCCAGACAGCCTCAGATTGTGGAGAGTGTCGTGTCCTGGGGAGCTCGGGCCTTCACCTCTGGGAGGCATTACTGGGAGCTGGATGTGACGCACTCCTCCAGCTGGATTCTGGGCACCTGCAAAGATATCTTGATAACTGATACTAATATCAGCATTTATTCTGAAGAAGCATGTGTTCTGTTTGCCAAGAAGGTGAACAATCATTATAGTCTCTTCACCAACACCCCACCCTACATTCAGTATGTGAAAAGGCCTCTGGGTAGGATTGGGGTGTTTCTGGATTATGACAATGGAACTGTGAGTTTCTATGATGTTTGCAGAGCATCCCTCATATACAGTTTCCTTCCTTCCCCTTTTTCCTTCCCTCTGAAGCCTTTCCTTTGTCTTAGGTCTCTATGAATTGTCAAATTCTGTGACCATTATTTTTACTTCTCCTCTGAGGTAACTGTTTCCCAAAACCTCATGTGAGGCCACAGGATAATCCCTGACTATCTCTGAGCACATTGTAATTTAATGAAACATATGACTGTATGTTTATATAAAATGGCATGACCATGCTGAACGTATGTTTGTTAATTAAATTTTCTTCTAATAAAAATTTATTATGGAGTGTTTCATAGAATATAATCAGTTGCTTTTCTCTTTTAAATAATAGTTCTATTAACATAAAAGTTACATACTTTAACGACTACCACATTTAAAGTACATAATTCAGTGTTTTTTAGTAATATACAAAAATTTGTGAAACAAGAACTGTCTAATTTCAGAACATATCCATCACTCCAAAAAGAAATCAATGCACATATTTACTCCCCATATCCCTTCCCCCGTCTTGTCACCCCCTTAATCCGGTTTTATTTTTCACGAATTTTTCTATTATATAGTTTCAATTAAATGGGTTCACACAATTTATGACTTTTTATATCTGGTTACTTTCACTTAATGCTTTCAAGGTTCATCTACATTGCAAGAAGTGTGCTTTACTTGCATAAATGAACCAGACTGGGGTGCAGGAATGAAGTGGTATACTTATTTATATCAGGTTAGTAAACAAAAGGAATGGTGTTTAGTGTATAGTTCAAATCATGGTGGAACTTGTGATATCCACTCATCAGGGGCTTCTTGGGCTTTCTAAGGAATTATATAAATCTTTTGACCCAGCAACATCATCTCTAGCATTCTTTCCAATAGAAATTATAACAAACAAGGATACATGGACCAAAGAATGTACTACATAGCATTTTCAATAACTAAATCAGTAAATAGAAAATCAATCAAAATTTCTGAAATGTGGGATATCATTGAACAAAATATGCTACATATTAAACTATATAAGTAACAATAGTTTGCACTTAGTCTATGATGTCCTGTATATTTTTTAACTAGTTAATATTCTAAAACAGTTGACTCCATATGACAGCAAAAAATACTGAAAAACAATTCATCATACTGAATGATACAAGGTTAAAAATAGAAATCCACTGAAATCAGTCAAGTTCACAAACAGTAATCTTAGTGGACAAAATTTTAGCTTCTTTCTCTTGCTTTCAGAAATGATCAAATATGATCAATTTATTGAGTTTCAGACTATCTACCTAGTACACTTACTCAGTGTGATCTTCGCAGTAAACTTAAAATGGAACAAGGAGGTATTTTTATATTTGATAAATTCTTTGGCATATAAACTCACCATGACTTTGTGACATGCCAACTTGGCAGGGCTACATGACAAAGGGGAAGTGAGGGCAGAAGCCAAGTTGAAACACGCCCACAGGGTCACCCGGTCTATGATTATTCACACAAGCACTAAACTAATCCAAGGGCTATCCTGAAAGGAGTTTGCAGACATATATCTCTTATCCTGATTCTAAACTAGAGAGCTTACACTAATTTATCTTCCTAGCTGCTGTCTGAACAGCTGACTTTTTTTAAGTATATTTTTAATTGGAGGATGTATATATATATGTATCCCCTCTCCCTTAAACCTCATTCCCACCCACCCCACAGCAGGCACAGACTTTTCATTGAACATGCACTTACAGGCCTAATGTCATCCACTTCTGAGAACTCTGGGCTAACAATGTCATCAAACTCTTCCACTAAGGAGATCCAGAGTACCCATGTCTTCCAAAGAGAAACTATACTTGTATCTGGTGCCCTGATTTTTGTGACTGCTGCAATTTGTAAATACAGAAAAACAGAGAAATAATATAAAATCACCTTTATGTCAGCATTCCTAAAAACTCTTTATGACTAATTTGGAACACAAAATATTATTGTAGATATTAACCTATACTGCCATACTTCACTTACTAAAGAACGGTGCTAGGGAAATTGGTTAAGAATTGAAAAATATGGAGAAGGAAATGACAACCCACTCCAGTATTCTTGCCTGGAGAATCCCAGGGATGGAGGAGCCTGGTGGGCTGCCATCTATGGGGTCGCACAGAGTCAGACACGACTGAGCGACTTAGCAGCAGCAGCATATGTATAACATGTATAACATAGACCACTTACAAGTAGAAGGACACATTTCTACCCTATTTTGTTCCAATTCCCGTATTAGTTTTTCTTTTCCCATGTGATTAATAGTACTTCACAAAAAATGGCACTGAAATTATCCAAGAAAACATACATATTCACCTGCAATAGATATATTTCTTCCTCTTAAAAACATAACACAGAAGGAAGAAGAAAGTACGATTTCTTTCATGCTCACTGCCTCATCTTCTAGATTCTTGGTATCAACATGTTAATTTGTACAACATTTTTAAAATGATGGTTGTTGTTTGGGAAGTGTTCTTTTCTTACTGGTAGGCCTTTCATCTGAATGTGAACTATTTTTCATTTGAACAGAGTTCCTCTTAGAAGAACATATTACTTCTTTGCTGAAACTTGTAAGACATTTAGAGAATATAAAATAGAAAGTCTGCATGAACAGCTTAAAAAAAAAAAAGAATTGAAAAATAATGACCTGGGGGATGCTTACAACAATTGTGGGATGCCATAAGACAGTGGTTGTGCTTTTGCAATTCAAGATAATTTTCATTTTTAAAAAACTTTTTATTTTGCATTGGAGTATAGCCGATTAACAATGTCGTGATGGATTCCAGTGAACAGCAAAGGGACTCAGCCATACATATACGTGTATCCATTGTCCCACAAACCCTCTTCCCATCCAGGCTGCCACATATCATTGAGCAGAGTTCCATGTGCTATATAGTAGGTCCTTGTTGGTCATCCATTTTAAATGTAGCAGTGTGTACCTGTCCATTCCAAACTCCCTGACTATCCCTCTTCCTCCCATTCTTCCCCCTGACATCCATAAGTTCATTCTCTAAGTCTATGAACCTTCAAGATCATTTTTAAATGCACATTCATAAACACTTAGGAGCATCAACACCTTACCTGCATGCATGTTCAGTCATTTCAGTTGTGTCCGACTCTTTGTGACCCTATGGGCTGCAGCCCTCCAGACTCCTCAGCCCATGGAATTCTCCAGGTAAGTACACTGGAGTGGTTGCCATTTCCTTCTCCAGTGGATCTTCCCGACCCAGGGGCCAAATCTGTGTCTCCTGTGTCCCGTGCATTGCAGGTGGATTCTTTACCACTGAGCCACCTGGGAAGCCATCACCTCCTTAAAATGTATAGAAATCGTACAAGTGTCTTGAAAGAGTTAAAAGCAGGGTCCTGATTCCCACTCTTTCCAAAATTTCTGCATTCTCCAGTTGATTGTCCAATGGGAAATATATCAGGACAGAAAGGTGAGGATATGTGTTATTTCTTCAAAGTATGTCTTTGTCTTAATTTTCCCACTGTAGTCACTAATGTTTGTTTTGTTGCAAAGCAACTTTCTAATGTCGTTGGCCTGAAGGGGTGTCTTAGCTGGGGTCTTCTCTACTGTCCCCATGAGCTGGGTGGGGAGGACCAGATAGAAAGCCCTGTGCTGTTGTTGCTGGGGGGCACGGGGGAGCTTGAGGGGCAAGAGATGTTCTCATTCTGCAGTGGTGACCACAGGAATTCTTACATTACAGTGTTCCTTTAAAATCCAAAAATCAATCAATTGATAAAATAAAGCTCCTCCTCCATGACAGAACATATTTAAACTAACCTCAAGAAACAGATTTTCAAGATTTCCAAGAAGTTAGCTAAACTCTCTAAGTGGTGAAATAATCTTTCCAACTTTTTTGGTAAGTTAAAAATAAAAATGATTAATATTCAGAAAGTCACATATCAATGTATTTCAGGGTGGGTTTGTAGTACAGAGAGTGACTCTTGATAAAAGGATGTTTGCAGAGACATGTTTATGAAGATAAGCCAAGGTGTTAAAGCAATCTTATCTTGTTTCAGGGAATCTCATCATCCGTATTAATCCCACTGGAAGACTGATGAAATGCAGTCATTTGGAACAAATGGGTGGGGTTCAGAGATTCAGTATAAGGAGACTCCAGGAGCCAAAGTTTTCTCCAGTACTGAGAGGGAGTGTTTGGAGCTCACCTGGATCTGGAAAGCTATCACGACCACATTGGAACTCTTGATCCTTAAGTCAACTTTACATTATTCTCCATTGCGAACTGTTTCTACTTCTCCTTAGGTGAGTACAAACTTCATCACAGAGCAGCTCCTGGGAATTTCTTGAGAAAGAATGAGAAAACAAACAAACAAACAAAAACCACAATTTACTAATTTTAACAGAAAACTGAGGTTGTTTCATTGAAGTAACTGTGTGTGCCAACTTAGTAAAATTATTGTATTTCTATATTGTCTAAATGGCATGCATGTTGGAATTAATGGTGACTAATTTTAGTTCTCTACTTTTGTTCATCTCTTAGTTATTCCTATGCATTACAAGGACTCAGAAAGTGGTATAGATCCTAAAAATAATTTTCAGAGCTATTTATCTCCATGTGTAATACCTACAATGGTCTACTTTAAATATGGAGTGTGCCTGTATACACAGGAGAGATAATGCTGTCCACTATTGTATTCTATTGAACTAGGTAAGGAATGTAATAATTTGAGAAAAATATTACTTTAAAGTGAAGTAAATGTTTTCTCTACAGAAATGTGAGTTTTTATGGCTGAAATTTTAAAGAAACTAGGAAATAATTTAGCAGGCAGAAAAGTGACACTTGAGATGTCTGAGGAATTTCTGTACTTAACTAGTACAGACACAAGGATCTGATATTTTAGGAAAGTCAATTTTAAAGAGTATGATTTGTTTTTTGGTGCTGATTATCACCATTACATGCAAGCTACACCTTACCACAAGATGAAAGGGGTGTCTGATAATAGTTTTAAAGACTTGGAAGATATAACCCTATGGTTTCATTTTTGGTTTGATTAATGAGTGTGATACAGACTAAACAGGAAGGCAAAGGCAACCAATCAGTATATGTTACAATTCATGAAGGGCTTCCCTCCTGGCTCAGAGGTAAAGAATCCACCTAATTAGTTTATGTCAGTAGTTTCTGTTACATAGGATCCTATTTGACAAAATTTAGTTTCATCTTCATTAATTCTGAATGTGTTCAGAAAGTGTTTTGGAGAGGAAAAAGTGATTGTGGATGTGAATTTAGACTGAGATAAAACAAAGGAAATCCAATCACAGGAATACTGACAATCACAGGAGATAATAAAATAGCTTAGTCAAGTATCTTGTGCTAAATCAAGGACTGGCACTGAGTGTTGTGATTGATTGTTTAGGGCAGTCAAGACCCACAACAAAGAGCTATAAATTAGGTCAAACTCCTGACCTAACATGCTACTTAGACGAAAACAAGACCTCAACAAAATTGAGGTTCTCCTCTAGGTAGAGGAAAGAGGGCAGGAAGTGGACAGTGTTTGTCTGGCAGTTGAGAAAATTTCCTGCAGCTCTTGAGAGCTCTCTCTGTGTCTCAGTTTTTCATTTGTGTCAAAGCAAACTCCAGTCTCTTCTCTTCCCAGTGCAGTTCCACAGGTGAGTCATCCCCCAAGTCTAATTTGCTTGTTCCTTTATGTCTTGGGGAAAGAGGAATAAACTCCTGATATTCTTCCCTCAGGAAAATGGACTCAGAAATCCCAGAACCCTTCCAGAAGGAGCTCACATGCCTTGTCTGCCTGAATTTCCTTCTAGACCCAGTCACCACAGGCTGTGGGCACAGCTTCTGTAGGTCCTGTCTTTGTCTTTTCTGGGAACAAGCCGAAGCCTCTGCCAGTTGTCCGGTGTGCAGACAACGATCAGAACAGACAAACCTCAAAACCAATTTTCTTCTGAAGAATCTGGTGTCCGCTGTCAGAAAAGCCAATCTCAGGCAATTCCTGAAGTGTGAGGAACAGCTGTGTGGGACCCACAAGCAGACAAAGACGATCTTCTGTGAAGCTGACAAGAGCTTGCTCTGTTTGGTCTGCTCCCAAGGTCAGGAGCACAAGACTCACAGACATTGTCCCACTGAAGAGGCTGCTGAGGAATCCTGGGTGAGTGATGCCTCTGAGGGCACTTAGGAAGCTTGGGGGTGGTACAGCTAAGAGACTGAAAGGATATTATGATCATGGGGATGATTAAACCTCCTCTTTACTGAGTGCCAGCACAAATCTAGTTAGCAGTGATAAAGTTGTGAAGAAAATGCCATAGTCACCTGCCTTTATGGAACTTGTGTCCACTGGCTTGGTTATGAAGTCAAATTGTTATAAAGTCATGTCTGACTCTTTGTGACCTCGTGGACTGTAGCCCACAAGGCTCCTCAGTCCACGGCATTTCCCAGGCAAGAATACTGGAGTGGGTTGCCATTTCCTTCTCCAGGGGATCTGTCTGACGCAGGGCTTGAGCCCAAATCTCCTGCATTTGCATGTGGATTCTTTACTGCTGAGCCACCGGGAAGCCCCCATGATTATTTGGATGATGCATTATTATGCTCAAGGCTCTGTAAAGCCTTCATTTTGAGAAAAAGTCTTTGACTCTAAGATCTACAAGCATAGAAAGTCTTTTCCATTGGATCGGTTCCCTAACCCTGGACAAAGAAGGGAGATACACGATGTTGGATTTAATAGGGGACAAGCATCACTAGAATCACACTCTGATACAAGATTCCACAGTATCTGAAAATTAGCTATCTTCAACAAAACTGTTCCTTTCCCTAAACGGATGATTCCCTGGGTGTGGTTCTGTGGTGCGGAATCTCCTGAAATTGATCATTAGTGAGGAAGAACAGGGAAATGTGGTGATCTGTCATGGCCTTGCTAATCTTCCTCCAGTTCCTGTATCTGACATTCCCTAGTACACTCCCTCATTTGAAGTCTGAAACCTCATTCTTTTCTGGCACTAAAATTTAATTCTTTTACAGGAGAAGTTGGCAAACCAAATGAGATCTTTATGGGAAAAGATACAAGATGTTGAAAGAAACCTCAAAAAATGTGACGAACGAGCTGATGCTTGGATGGTAAATAGGAGAATGCATTTCTCTTTGAAAAAGTTCGAGGCATACATGTTATAAACTTGTCCCTTAATAGATTGAGGTGAAATAATCATGTGCTAAAAATTCAGAGAATGGGTTGAACACTATTTAGAATAATATTCCATGTACCATTTCAACCTACATTCCCAAGCCTCTTGGGCTTTTTGGAATCTAATGGATTAGGAACTACAGCAAAAGATCCATTAGAAGCATGTGGCACAAGTGCTAAGATGATGACATAGGATGGGACGTGGACGACTCCACACCCAGGACTCAGGATCTTAGGGGAAGCTTCTCAGGTTTAAGATCAGTTCTCATTCTGAAGATCAAGGGGGCATTTAAAAATTCCTGGGTTATTTCAGGCACAGATTTCTGTGTAAGCCATACATTCTAGAAAGTAAGGGACATATTATTGAGAAACACAGGTATTTTCAATCTGATTAGTACATGAGCTCAGGTGGATACAAAGGAAATTGAACCACAGTGTAAGGGGTGTGACTATCATGGTGAAGAGTGACAGCTCACTATCTAGCGAATAAGCAGAAAATGTGACATGTTAAAGAAAAACCTCAGGAGGGAAAGGAATAAAGAGAAACAGATAAAGAGTGAGCGAGTGAATTCATCAATACTGGGATGGAATATGCAATGGAATGAGGATGAATGACCTCCTAAACAATGTGGGTAGGAACCTGTGACCTTACAGAACCTGTTTGTAGAGAAAAGGAGGGCAGAAAGAAAGGACTGGGAGGATGAGCATCTGTTTGAGGGCAGTAGATGAAAATCTGAAGTTCTTTCCTTAGGATACCAACCCCGAGGGTAAAATGGAACATAGCTGCTCAGAGAGAAGTCAGGCTAGGGAGTTTGGGAGGTTTGAGATGAGACATCAGTTTACCTCAGATTTGATGCATGAATTACCCATAGATTTCAATTGCTTGCACGGGTCTTTCGGATTTGTTACGAGGCATATGAAAGAAATGACCCATGAAAAGATTTTCTCCAGCTGTTTCAGAAACATCTGTATGAAATGGATGGAAGTTATTTGAGAAAAGGGTGGGTTTGAGTCTTGACCTAGTCAAAAATCATGGAAAATAAGTGAAGGAAAGAAGATTTCTGAGAAAAGGGAAGATATGACTTTAAGTTGGATGTAGCTTCTTGGTAGACAGAATGAGTCAGAGCAAACTAAATGCTGTTGAAACCCCTCTCGCAACAGTTTTACGTGAATGGACATGGAGAACATGATTAGGAAAACTTATCAGATGTTAACTCCAATTCTTCAGGAGGGAGAAAATTACTACAAAGGGTTTATTACAAAAGAAGGCCAAAAGATTTATAAGCAAATCAGAAAGAGACAAAAGGAACTGAGTTGAAAGAAGACAGATCTCAAAATAATATACACAGAATTCAAGAAAATGTCCTATAAACCAAATGTGGAGCTGCTCCGTAAGGACCGAGGGCTGAAAATGTATTATCTGAAGCTCACACCTTCGATGCCCATTAGATGGTACCAGGGGTCTATTCTTTCATCTCTTGCATCCTAAGGTTGGAGTCTCTCCTAGTGGGAAATATTATAGAGAAAGTGCAACTCATGCAAATCATGATTGAACAAGCTTTGCAGAATTGTGATGATGGAGACTCCTCAGGGAATATTCCCTTCTCAAAACCTTTTGTAAATTGATTCTGTAAAAACCAGAAAGGAACAACTTTTGTACTGCCATTCAATGTTTTGATCTCCAATTGGGCAATGGGAGAAATTTTAGATACATTTATAAATTTTCACCTCCTGTTGGAATATCCCAGGTTTGAGTTGCCTTTAGTTTGGGGCATATTAAGCTTTTAGGACAAGCCCTAGGAAACATCAATTTACAGAGAGCTGAGGGTTGTCCAATCACTACCCTTGTACTTTCTCTCTCTTCTTCTCCCTCCGAATTTCTTAATTTATCAAGAATTTGGATTCTCTCAACAAGCTGTGCCAATTTCCTTTGGGGAGAAAAAAGACAATGGGTTTCCCAACTGTTTTCTCATGGTGGTGATAAGAACTTTTCTGAAGTTTTCCTAACCCAAATACTGGTTGGCTATTTATGAAGAAGTCTAGTCTTATGTTTCCTTATTTTATGTTTGACAGGAATTGGGAGACAAACTCAAATGGTAAGTCTGATCTTGCGATGCTGATGATGGCACTATGAAGGCTGTGTAAGAGATCCAGCTGCATTTAGCAAAGGGAACACGTAACGTGTCAGACAATACTACATTGCTTGTGTGTATATGTATCTATGGGGCTTCCCAGGTGGCGCTAGTGGTAAAGAACCCGCCTGCCAATGCAGGAGACACAAGAGATGCAGGCTCGATCCCTGAGTTGGGAAGATCCCCTGAAAGAGAGCATGGCAACCCACTCCAGTATTCTTGCCTGGAGAATCCCATGGACAGAGAAGCCTGGCAGGCTACAGTCCATAGGGTCACACAGAATTGGACACTACTTAACACACACATATCCGTGTCTGTTTTGTTGAATATAATTTCCTGTTACACTTGAATGGAAGTAATTAATAGCATATTTTGCTCCTGTGACTGAGGGAGGTAAGTGTTGCCATGCCCAATGCAGACTTTTCCAAAAGGCCAGTTTTTACTGATTTAAAATTTCAAGATCATAAACATGTTGAAGCTCAAGGACTAGTATTTCCAGGCACTAGGTGAGAAAAGTAAGTAACTCTGGGGAAAGGGGGTGAAAACAGACCATGAGAAAAATGAGAAAAAAATGTCCCAAGAAGAGTCTGATCCTATCCCATGCTTGTGGGGAAAAGGATTTAGATGGAGAGTGTTGAGCCAAAGGATGCTGTCTTATCGTAAAGGCTGTGTTCAAGAAGCCCTGGGCAGCAGAAGGATGACCCGCATCTTCCTCTTACAGGAGTGAGTCGGCACAGCGGCACGGGCCTCAGTGTCTGCTCCCAGAACTCCCTGCACGACCCATGGCCGGGCTGATGGACTGGCTCCACTGCTTCCAGGGTGAGTGTCACCCCACTGGTGCATCTTCCCTGCAGGGTCCCTCAGTGTTGGTTTCTGCAGACAGTCTTTCCCTCTTCATCTCTCAGCCTGTGCAGAACAGCCTGCAAATAGGCGCGTATAGACATGTGTGGTCACAGAGTCACTAAAATCCTCTATAGGATACACACAGGCTGGTGCAGGGGCTAATGCGATTCATGCCTCAGCAATTACTTATAAATTTGAATAATCTGTATAATGGAGAAATGGACATACTCCAAAAATGGCTCCTGGGTCCCTAGAAATATCATCATGTACCATGTGAGTTGTTCACTGAAAATTGGTTATTAATCCAGGATATTCCAGTTTCAGAGTCTAAGTGCAGTTACATAGAGGAAGTTTCTTAGCAATTGAATGTATAATGTTTTCCCGTTGATATAATCTGGAAAAACATATAAGCCTCAAAATTATGGAAACCACAGGGAAGCAAATGGTTTGTGAATGGGCCCCACAGAGCTCCATGATAAACCTCATCCTGGAGGGTGACTTGTCAGGAAGTGGAAGACTAGACCTCAGGCTGCAACCACAGATCAAAAGCAGAAAAAAGCCTATAAGGAAATCACTTATAAGAAACCATCCTTAGGTTTTGTTTCCTCAATCTCCATTTGCTAATTTAACTGAAATGGAAGAATGATCACCAATTCTCTATTCTACAATGTATTTTTTTTTCCCTTGAGCAGGAGTAATGGAGGTGGAGGTAAGATATACTGTCATGGTCTTGGAGATGATCAATGACTGTTGTCCAGTCTTTTAGATGTAATAAAAAGTACCCAGCCAGAAGTAGACATGACCTCCCTATTGTTTATAATCTCTGAGTTTTTAAGCAGTTTTTTCCATGGTAACTAATAATCTATTTCCTTGGCAGATATCCTGGCAGCGTTTGAATTCAATGTTTTCCAGTTAAAACTACATTTCTAATAACCTTAAGACTTTTCACCCAGTGAGACTCTAGATAAACCCTCTTCTCTCATAGATCATTTTATTTTAATATTAATTTTGACTGGCATTTTCTCTCATCTCTCCATAGTCAACTTTTCATTCAATAATGAAGTAAGCAGTCAGCACATCAGGCTGTTCGATGATGCAAGACGTCTGATGTATGAACATCCCAGCCTCCATGCGTCTTTGGATGGTGGAACATCGAAGTATTTTGCTGCATGGGGAGCCCAGAGCTTCACCTCTGGCAAACAGTACTGGGAGATGCTCGTGGACAGCTCTTGGGACTGGGCTGTAGGCATCTGTAAGGATTCCTGGATAAGGAAGGACGATGACATACTGGATGAGTCCAACAGGGACAAGTTTCTCCTTCTGTGTGTGAAACGGGATGACCATTACCAACTCTGGACCACCGCCCCCACCACGCCTCTGTACATAGAGAGACCTCTGGGCAGGGTGGGGGTGTTCCTTGATTGTGACAGTGAGAGTATTAGTTTTGTGGATGTTGCCAAGCACTCCCTCCTTTGGAGATACGATGATGGCGTGTGCACTTTCCCTGTCAGGCCCTTCATCTGCACTGGCCACAGGTGAGGAGGCTGAGTCATGGCCCAGATGGGATGCTCAGGACTCCTCTGAGCGAGCTGCAAAAGAATACTTGATTGTCTTTAGGCTCTTTCTACTGTAATGGACCCTCATTTTTACTGCTATGTTATAAAGCAGGTGTCAACTGCAAACTTTTGTTGGTTTCTACGATCATCTTGACAGTGAAATTTTCCTTTATAGCCATTTGTCTGAAATATATGAAATATATTCACCTGTGTTGTGAGCTTGCTGGAATCAACAAAATATGACCTTGTACTTCCCATTTCCTGCCCCCAAGGGCTTAAACAACAGGGACAGACCTGGTCCCTAACCAGATCCAGGTCAGCCTCCAACCTTCTTATCCTTCCTCACAAACTACTCTGTCCTACACATCTATTCACCCTCCAGGAGAAAACCGATTTGCAGGGAAATCTCCACTGACCCTGGAGACTGGGATAAGCATTTCTTTCAGGGAATCCAGAATTAGCAGGTCCTTTTTTTGTACAATAATAAAAAGAAAGTGCTTCATGAGGGGCACTGGAGGAAGTAAGAAATAAATACTCCTGATTGGAAAGGAGTTTTGCAGTAAAAGTTAAGATACTTTCTAAATATATATTGATAAGTTTTTCAGTACTGGTTACTTAAACTTACCCTCTAGCTCATGTTGAAATGTTGCAGAAACCAGCACTCAAGAAACCAAGCACCACACTGGGAGAGTTGGAGAATCAGGTTTATTATGCCGGCGGGTCCAGAGGAGTTAACACTCCAAGCTCTGAGCCCCAAGCAAAGGGATTACAGAGTTTTTATAGGCAGACTGTAGTGGGCAACACTAGCTGTTAATAGGCTGGTTTAAATTAGGGGTTTCATGCACGGGAATAATGGTCAACATGGGGAGGGGGATGTCTGACCTGGACAGGCATGATTAAGCAGGGTTGTAGGGGTTGGATGACTGCAAAGAGCAGGACAACGGTGAGTGAGATAAACTCTAATTCCTAGTATTGCATGTCCCCACTTTCTAAGACTATGTGACCTACGTGATCTAGATTTTGCAAGGGGCCAGCTGAGTTACAGAGGCAGAAGGAGAAGAAGGTTACGTAAAATTTTAACTTTTCTTCTTCAATAAATCTTACTACATCTTAGTTGCTAGAGTCTCCTATATTACCTGCTATTTGAAATAAAAAGAATCATGTCTTTGGTGCTAATTTTACAAATTTCATATTGAGCAGAGAAGAAAATTATATAATTTGCAGCATGGTTTTCCAAATACATTCAGCATTTCAACCATTTAGAATTCATTTAAGTACAGATATTACCTCATAGCCATGAGAATGAAAGTGTGTTTTTCTATTTACCACAACACCAAAAGCACCTACAAGAATCGGGGCGGGGTGGGGGGGGAGTACTTCATTTTATTTTTTCAATGGCTGCTTCAAGTTATCGTACTTGGAATACATAGAAAAAAATCCACAAGTGAGAAGTTGTGTTCTATGGTTATGTCTTTTAAACAATGTTTTGTATTTACAATTTTTTTTCCCTAATTAAAAGCACCAGCTGCAGATACAGTCTGCTAAAAACATAAGACATTACAAACCCATTAAAAGACAGCTTGCCAAACGTGACTCAATGGACATGAATTTGAGCAAACTCCAGGAGATAGTGAAGGATAGGGAAGCCTGGCGTGCTGCAGTCCACAGGGTCGCAAAGGGTCAGACATGACTGAGCGACTTTCGCCTCACTTTAGCTATATGAGACTAGCTGTAATGGCTCCCTGGGGGCTTGCTTGCTGTCTGTTTTAAATTATTATGACTAAAAAACTGTGAGGCACTGAACTGGGACTCATCGGATGGTATTTACGACAGCTTTACATAACTGAAAGGTGAAGAAAAGGCTCAAAGTTCACACAAATGCACGCATGCATGTACACTTGGGTTGGCCTCCATGAAGCTAGAGTGGAATATTAAATATCAAGTACTGAATTTTGGGGGCGGGGGGGCTTCCCAGGTGGCTCAGTGGTAAAGAATCCACTTGCCAATGCAGGAGACATGGGTTCGATCCCTGGATCGGGAAGGTCAACTAGAAGAGGAAAAAGCAACCCACTCCAGTATTCTTCCTGAAAAATTCCAGAGGATCTTCACGGGCTACAGTCCACAGGGTCACAAAGAGTTGGACACAACTGAGTGTCTGAGCACACAGGCAGAGACTGAACTTCTAACTGTACACTTGAGAGCTTATCCCTAGCTTTACATGTATGTATGCAGATAACAGAATGGTCACCACAAGCACTTTCATATCAAGACAGGTGCTAACTGTTAAGGTTCTTATTTAATCTGCTCTACATACAAAGTGCCCTAGAAGCAAAGAAAGGCTTAAACATAGATAAACATGATGCAGAGCGTGTCTGACCTCCTTGTATCGGCTCTGGAGGAAGGAGAAGAGCACACACAGGTAGAAAAGCCACACACTCAGAGGTAGTAGGCGCTGGCAGCCAGGCTGTGGTCTGGACTGACCCTCTCCAGCGAACTGTTCGGTTCCCTGTGGGGGTCTGTTTCCCTCCTTTATATGCCCGCTCACCAGGTTGGTGAGATGAAGGCCCACAGCTCCCAGTCACTGGTGAGCCTCAAAGCTGTGGTGAACTGGGCTTCAGCACTGTCCATGCCGTTGGCAGAGACACAGGCTAGGCCCGGCAGGGTACGCAGCTGAGCTGTGTGGCTAGGAGGCTGGGAAGGCAGGGGTCGCATTGCCGGCGCAGCCAACAGACCTGGGAGATCTCCTGCAGCCCAGCGGCCCGTGTCCTCTGCCTAGCCTGCACGTGCCGGGGTACTCACGCAGGATTCTTTGGAAGGAGGACAGGACGGGCTGCAATCGAGCATCTTAAGCTTCTCCAGCCGCACGAGGACAAGTCTGTGTGCTTCTGCGCCTTCTCTCGGGAGCTGGCTTGCATGGAGTGCATCACAGTTTCCACATTGACAAGTGCGCATGCGTGCTCCTTGGGAAATGGGTGGAAGAGGTCGGCGGGCTTGCTGGATCTGCAGGATCAGCAGGATCTCTTCGAGCACAGTGTGGTGACGGTCTAGATGCACTGCCCTGCTGCTTCATGCTCTTTACCTGCCTGGCATCAGGAGCACCTACCTGGAGCACCAGGAAGAAGATACACAGAGCCTTTCTGAGTGGGTTTATCTTGAGGGTGCTCTACTATCTGTCCACCGAGGGTCAACAGTGGGTGGACTTCCTGCAACAGCAGCCGCATCCCTTGCTGAGCAGGAACAGCACCTGTGTGTACTCAGATCCCACCACCCGGGCGTTCGCGGCCCCACACACAGGAGGTAGCAGGCTGACAATGGGGTACTTCTCAAGTGTGTGCAGTCGTGTAACCTGGAAGACCAAGCTTCAGTGCCAGGACAGGGTCTGCTGTGAGATCTAGATTGCTTCTCACAGCAGCGACTTTCTTGAATCAATGGACGTCTCTTGACAGCATAATTCAGACAAAAGCCTTGCTGCTTCCAATTTAGCATCTTTGAAATAGCGGGTTTTGCTGCGATGTCAGCCTGCCCTCTCCAGGTGGCTACCTGCCTGCTCTCTGTTCTCAGTGTGAAGACACAGCAGGGAGCCAAGCTGCAGGTGCGTTTGGGCTTCAGTGGGTTGCAGTGGCTTGAAGGAGAACATGGTCTTCCAGCAGTGCATGCACAGGGCTGAAGCGCTCCTTGAAGCCCAAGAGCTCCAGGTACCACTACTCAGCCTCCAGGCATCATCAGTGGAAACCCTGCCTTAATGCTTTGGAGCATCAGCTTTAAAATCACAATCAGGACAATAACATAGCTTCACTATAAACATCGTTTTAGACATATAGCAAGACACAGTGTGAAATAAATTTCAGGTATAACAAGTATAAATATTATCATTATTTCTGGTATTATAATTGTTTACTGAGAAACACAGTTATGAACAATAAAATAAACCTCTAAGATTTCTAGCAACAAAATTAACACTCAAACCTATATATATATATATTAAAGATACAACTACTTAGTAAATGCAAGTTTTCATGAAAACAAAAAATGAAAGAAGCCAGGAACTTTAAGGGGTAAAAACAGAAAGAATAATGAGAGGGCATTAACCTTAAACAGATTTTCAAATATATCCTGGTTCGCAGGAGGAGGGATGGGTGGTATTGGAGGTTGGAGCAACGCTAGTTCATATTTACAGTTATTCTCCCAGCAGTGTCCACTCCTCTCATGTATATGACTTGATGCAGTAAATGCTTCTCAAGTTCTCTTCTTCCCAACCTATCCTCCTTTAGATGGAGGAGGAAGGGAAAGGAAGGAGAGAAAGAAGGAAGGAAGGAAAAGAGGGAGGGAAACAGGCAAAGAGGAGACTCCACACTCCCTTTGACATAGATTCCCTAGTTTTGCTGGAAATCCTTTTTTCCACCATTTAAGGGATAAAAAATTAATTTTGGAGTCTGAGTCAGAGGAGTCCCCTTAGGAAGGTGAGTTAGAGACAGTGCTCTCACCATCACAATCTTCATCTTCATCCCCACTGCTTTCAAATTCACAGTCTTCATCTTCTCTGCACTGGCCTGAGGAGTTAGTGGCATCCTCCTCTGCATCTTCCTCATTTTCTTCTGATCTCCCTGAGGCAGGAGAATGTTCTCCAATCGTGTCTGATGATGCTAACTCTGCAACCTGAAGCCCCGGGTCCTCTCTAAGCCTTCCTTGCAGATTCCCTGATGATGGGGACTGCAGATCCATCCTTCTAATCTTCGGGTTTGGGTCCTCCGTCACGCTCATGTTCTTACGCTTAGCACAGGTCGCCTCTCTGTAGGCAGTGTATTCTTCAGGAGACAGAGTCCTGAGCCAGAGATCAAGGTCCACCTTGTACTGTGTCTGCAGTTCCTCCGCCTGCTTCTTATAAAGCTCCTTCTGGTCCTGGGGGACCCGCTGCCAGCGTCTACTGATCTCCACCATGTGCTCCCTTGGGGCCACCACTTTCAGCTCCCTGCTCGACCAGAGATCCTGGTGGAACTTGTGATAGCCATTCATCGGGGGCTTCTTGGGCTCTCCCTGGAATTTCCTTTCCATGGATAATTTGTTTTTTGAAGGAGACTTTACTTTTTGCACATTTTCCTGAAACTTCTTTGGCACTTTGCTTTGACTTCCTTTGGGGACATCAGGTTTCTTGGAGTTCTGGACTAGATCAGGGTGCTGTTCTCTGAACAGGGCCATTTTCTCCTGAAACTCCTGTTTCTCTTTCTGGAAATTTTGACTGTATTTCAGCTTGATCTGTTCCGGCAGCTTCCTGTATTCCTCAGCCAGAACCTTGGTCAGCTCCTGGTTGCTTATCTTGGGGTGTTTTTGGAGGTACTGAGGTCTCATCTCTTTAAAAAAGCGGAGGTAAGCTGTCAGGGGCTTCTTAGGTAGATCAGGATGTTTCTTGTGTTTTCTGCTTTTGGAGTTGTTAACATTTTCCTTAGCTTCCAGGACTAGTTCTTTCAAAGTGCGAAACTTTCTCAAGTTATAAGAAACCTCTAACCATTTGAGTTTGCACATTTCCCCAGAAAAATCTTTAAAAGCTACTTTACCCCAGTCCATCACTGACTGAGTTTTTTTGAATGTGTGCCTATCATTGGATGGAATGTTTTTCTCCATACATTCCAATAACTGCACAATGTCTTCCTTGGACCAGTCATCTTGACTTTTAGGCATCGTCATTTCTAGGTCTTTGGGACACTTAAATGGTCCCAGCAGTTCAGACACCTCAGCAGAATTTTCAGCTTCGTCACTCCCAAGATTCAGCAGGTGAGTTATTTCTGAAGTCTTACAGTGTACAATTCTATCTTTCTGTGGAGAAAGAAAAGGAAAGTTCTCCTATGTGATACATGAGAGAAGCATACCCTGCTTGAGATGTGTCCTTTCTATCATTTCATTTACCCTGAAGAATGTAAGTGAAAATTGGCCCAACCTCTGAGTTGAGACTCTTATTGAACCTTATGAAGCTTCTTTTGCATAATTAAAAATCCTCAGGTGCCTTCCCAACATGCTTTCCAATCAGTCTTACCACAGGTTGTTTTACATACAAATGAACAAAACAAAAGACTGGTTGCCCCCTCAGGGGGCAAATAATAAGTGAAAATGAAACAAAATTTAAAAAATTAAAATTCCTGAAAAGGAAAGGACTTTAAAATACCAATGAGATACCATGGTACATGTATTGGAATGTCCAAAATCCCAAACAGTGACATTACCAAATCCTGGAGAGAATTTGGAAAAACAGAAAGCTTGATTCATTGTTAATGGGAATGCACAATGATGCAGGCATTCTGAACAATAATAGGGAACCTTCTTATAAAACTAAATATCCTCTTAATATTATTCAGTAATCATGTTTCTTTGTATTTAACCAAATTGGCTGAAAACCTGTACTTGTTAAAAAAAAAAAAAACCTGCACAGAGATGCTTTAGCAGCTTTGTTCATAATTGTCAAAACTTGAAAGCAACCAACATGTCTTTAGATAGGTGACTGGATAAAGAAACTACACTACCTACAGACAATGGAACATTATTCACTGCTGGAAAGAAATGAGAGATGAAGCTAGAAAGAGACATGGAGTATACCTGAATACATATCACTAAGTGAAAAAAGCTAATCTGAGAAGAATATGTATTTCATGAGTCCAACTGTAAGACATTCTAGAAAAACAAAAGTATGGAGATGGTGAAATAACTTGTCATTTTCAGGAGTTTGATCTTCCCAGGTGGCACCAGTGGTAAAGAATCAAATACACCTGCCAATCCAAGAGATGCAAAGATGCCAGTTCGATCCCTAGGTCGAGAAGATCCCCTGGAGGGGGAAATGGCAACCCACTCCATTATTCTTGCCTGGAAAAATTCATGGCAGAGGAGCCTGTCGGGTTACAGTTCATGGGGTCGCATAGAGTTGGACACGCCTGAACACACGTGGTGATGGTAGTGGTTTCAGAGGTTTACGGTGGGGGATTGATGAATAGGTGATCACTAAATAATTTTAGGGTGGTCTAACTCTTCTGTATATTATATCTATTTGCTCTCTCTTTATATATATACATATATATAGGCCTATATTTTTATATAGGTCTATATTTTATAGGTGTTTATATATATATAGGTCTATATTGTATACTGGCTTAATTCAGAGGAATTAAGCCAATACAAATGAGGGGGGAAATGCATGTTTTTTTACAAATGGTGCAGGAAAAAAAGATAGCACATACCAAAAAAAAAAATCTAAACACAGATATTACACCTTTCACAAAAATTAACTTAAACTACATCATAGATCTGGGGCATCCCAGGTGGCACAGTGGTAAAGAATCCACCTGCAATGCAGGAGACCTGAGTTCAGTGGGTTGGGAAGATCCCCTGGTTGAAGAAATGCCAACCCACTCCAGTATTCTTGCCTGGAAAATTCCATGGACAGAGGACTCTGGAGGGCTACAGTCCATAGGTCAGAGTTGGACATGACCAAGCACACACGCATGCACATACACACATCATAGAGCTAAATGTAAAACTATAAAACCCTTTAGAAGATAACAGAGAAGAAAATGTAAATAACTTTGAGTATGTTGATGACTCCTAACATGTAATGCCTGATACATGAAAAAAAATAATTCATAGGGTAGATTGCATTACAATTTAAAAATGTCTACCCTGCAAAGGACATTGTCAAGAGGATGAAAACACAAACCAAAGACTGAGGGAAAGTGTTTGCAAAGAACATATATAACACATCACTTTCAAAAAACGCAAAGAATTCTTAAGACTCAACAGAACTCAAATGAAAATAAACTTATTTAAAAAGTGGTGGAAGACCTGAACAGTCACTAAACCATACACAATATACCAATGGAAAGTAGCATGTAAAAAAATGTTCAACAGCATGTATCACCAAACATTGTGTCAAATTAAAACAATAAGATACCACTACATACTTCTTAAAATGGTGAAAATGCAAAACACTGGCAACAACAAATGCTGGCAAGGATATGGAGCCACAGAAAAAACAAATTCTCATTCATTGCTGATGGGAATGGGAAATGGTACAGCCACTTTGTTTGGCATAGAGTTTCTCCATAGGGGCTTTAGTTAGAAAACAAAACATAATGTTAGCATTCAATCCAGCAATCATACTTCTTGGTGTTTACCCACCATGAGTCAGAAGCTTAGGTCCACAAAAATACCTGCACGTGTAGGTATGTAACAACTTTATTCATTATTGCCAAAATTTGAAAGAAATCAAGAAGTCCCTCAGGATAGGTTAACAGATAAACTGTGGTACATCAAAACAATGACATATAATGCAGTGCTAAATAGAACAAGCTATTAAGCCAGCAGTAGACATGGAGAGATTTTAAATGTTATTGCTGACTCAAAGAAGCCAACCTAAAAAGACTTAGGTTAATTAAAATTAACATAAATGGATTAAATTTACCACTTAAGAAATGCTTTCTTGTTTTTAATGTTGAACAGAAAGAAAGTATATATATATTTGTGATATATAAGAGACACTAGTACATGATGGAGAAAACTTGAAAATACAATAGTAGAAGATGGTAAAGTGAGAGAAAATTAACAGCTTTGATTTGCCATCAGACAAAATATTAAACATTTAGTGTGGCTTGAAAAGTGAATACACAATAAAAAATATTCAATAATACATATGAAATAGAAACATGTAGACAACTGATAGTCTTAGAATGAAAAAAAAAAAAAAAGATAGAGGGCTTCCCTGGTGGTTCAGTGGTTAAGAATCCGCCTTGCAATGCAGGGGTCACTGGTTTGATCCCAAGTCCCAGAGATCACAACATTGAGCCTCTGCTCTAGAACCTGTGAGCCCAAACTACTGAGACCTAGCACTGCAACTACTGGAGCCGGCGTGCTCCAGAGACTGTGCTCCACAGCAAGAGAAGCCACTGCAATGAGAAGCCTGCTCCTTGCAACTAGAGAAAAGCCAGTGAACAGTGAAGATCCAACTCAGCCAAAAATAAATACATAAATAAAAACCTGAAAAATCACTTAAAAAAACTGATAGAAACAATGGCAATGAATCAGTGTACCCCAGTTTATATTATATATATATATATATATATATATATAAAGCAATGAACATATATCTCATTTATGGATAAATTAAGCAGGGAAAAAAGTTTCAGTAAAGACATTAAGGAATAGAACTACTCAGTTAACAAGATTAAACTTATTAACAGAAACAAAATCCAATAGTTACCAAATACATTATTCTAAACACATGTTGACAATTTCCTAAGACCTAAAGGAAGTCTAAAACAATGTGACATATTGTCACAATAAAAACTTTTAGAAAGATGGGAATAAAAGGGAATATTATTAAATCTGAGAAAGTATAAGATTAAAATAAATATAACTAAATAAAATAAATATAACTAAGGTCATTGTAAATGGGGAATCACTAGAAGCATTCTCTTTAAAACCAGAAATAAGATCAAGGATAGTCAGTATCACTTTGCTGGTGTCTCAGATGGTAAAGAATCTGCCTGCAATGCAGGAGACCTGGGTTTGATCCCTGGGTTGGGAAGATCCCCTGGAGAAGGGTAACAGTTACCCACTCCAGTATTCTTGCCTACAGAATTATATGGAGAGAGGAGCCTGGCAGGCTACAGTCCATGGGGGTCACGAAGAGTCAGACACAACTGAGCGACTTTCACTTACAGCCACTGTCAGGCTTCCACGCAATTCTCTTGGGAGGTCCAAGCTGATGTAATCTATAAAAATGGTGGTGGGAAAGAGAAGGAAACAAAATTATAGTATTGAAAAGAAAACTGTGCATAAGATGATATCTGTAGGGGACCTTATAAGAAATAAAAACTATTATACCAATAGATAATTTTTCCAAAGTAGCAAAGAAGTATGAATACATAGTCAAGATTAAAATACTTTTTGAGTCTAACAAAACTCTGAATATTTAGGCCTTTGTTGGTGATATTTAGTCGTGTTCAACTCTTTTGCAACTCCGTTGACTGTAGCTGTCAGACTCCTGTGTCCTTGGGATTTCCCAGGCAAGAATACTGGAGTGGGCCACCATTTCCTTCTCCAAGGTATCTTCCCGACATGGGGATCAAACCTAAGTCTCCTTCATTGGCAGGATTCTTTACCACTGAGCCACCAAGGAAGCCAGTTCAGCCTTACTTACCTCATTATACTTTTGTTTTCTTGCTCTGTTTGATTCAATGGCTTTTTCAGCCATGTACTGAAGAGTATCAAAGCTCTCTCCCACCTCAGGATCTCCACCCACCCCACCCTATTTATCCTTCAAATCTGTCTTCAGATGCCACTCCCTTATGCCACTGCCTTAAGTTTATACTTCATTATGTATTCCTTTAGTACATTCCTTTCCCCCCCTTACACTGATCCAAATTGTAACTAGAATTCCTATAGCTTTTACTCAATTCCTTGCTCCCTGACTATAATCTTCATAAAAGTAGGAAGGATGTCTGTGTTGTTCATAACTGCCCCTTGCTACTTAAAACAAATGTTAATACATAAGCAACAGAATAACCCAAGAATGCATTCAGATGTGGTATTCACAGTATTGAAAATATGTTTACAGACTGAAAGGCAAAGTCTCAAGTAATAGTGACAAAATCTCAAGTCAAAATACTGTTGGCTAGTAGATGTGAGTTTAATAATCCAGAGTG